AGGTACTTCTACAACTTCAAAATAGTCATTGGGCAGAATCACATAGCCTTTTCCTGCCAGGATGTCTTTTTCTTTCTGAAACTGAACAATCTCTCTCAGTTTTTCAATTTGTCTCTCCTGACGTCGGCATCGCTGTTGCGCTGTCTTGAGTTTCTTTCGCAGTTTTTCAACTTGTTCCTCTAGCTGCTGAATTCTTTTTCGCTGATGAACTGTATCCTCTACGGTATAATTATGATCACAAAAAACTGCAAGATTGCTAGGGGTCTGGAGAGGAGGCATTAATAATCCGATACTTGGATCTACAAATCTGGCATCTATCTGAGATAAATGAAAAGAAGGAGCTGATGGAGATGGTGGTAGCATGGGAGCTGCAGGTGGCGGTGGCGGCGGCGGTGGCGGCGGAGGTGGTGGTGGTGGCGGTGGTGGAAGTGGATCCTCTGGCTGCTCTGAAAATTCCTCAGGCTACAACAAACAAAAAGTACATTTGTAAGCATAACATTTGTGCAACACAACTCCATTAGTACAGGCAATTACAGTATAAACAACTAGGAGTAAAATTTAAAAAAAACGATTAAAAAAACCCTCCACACATTTCAAAGCCTAAATTTTCAAAACTGTCTCATTTTGTCTGGCTTCTAAACTGGAGGTGTTTTAAGCAACTTCATTTCCACTGTCTTTTGAAACTCAAATCCTTGATATCTAGAACAAATCTGAAACTGAAGAGCCCCGAAGTCATTCTCACTTCTGAGGACACGTGAATTAGATATCCAGGATTAGCTGAGGATCCTGGATTCAGTCCTGTGAAAAAGAGCTCAGCTGACCTGGTAGGTCATCGAGGCAATCCCATTCCCCTTTGTCCCTCTTTCTTTCTACTGCATCTTACCACATGCACTTTGAACTTGTCAGCTAATTTAACCAGGAACACAGCAGAACTGGAGAATCTTCTGTTAGGGCAGAAAAAGAACCATTTCACTGGGGGAGGTGGACAAGCTGGCAGAGCAGAGAAGATAGGCACAGGAAGACCTGCTTCTTCACAAAGCAGGACTGATCACCACATTATTTTGGGATTGCAGCAGAAGGGTTTGGTAATGTGATGAGCCAGAATAAACAGCTCTCCCAGCTCTACTATCAACCTTTTCCGAAATGCAGGATTTTGCTAAAATGACTGCAAGAAAGTTCTGTTCTCCATTAAAGTCAAAACCATGCAATGAGAGATACATATGGAAGGAGTAAGAAAACAGGACTGGGTGGCTGGCAGCTGGAACAGAGCAGAACACCAAGTGAGCTCAGCCCCACATTATACTACAGACTTCAACATACTGCTCGAGATAGGTTCAGACACTTGCATGGTTCAGGACAATGCATACCTCTCATCACGTGGGAGGAGGCCAAAGAGAAATCTGATTCTTTCTGCCCCAAAGGAACATACTTAATTCAGAAATGCACACATAATGCATATTAGTGGTAAACACATAAATAAATAAATAAAAGCCTAAGAAGATCCCAGTGAAAGAGACACTGAAACCAATTTTTTAATTCCCTGTCCCCAACATTATTACTACAAATAAAAGCATGAAGACATTCACAACGTCAATCAATTTTAAGAGCCACCAACTGTCCCCTCATCAGACTGGAAGATCACATCGTTAAACTTCTTGCCTTAATATAAAGACAAACCAACACACAACTTGGGAGGTTCAGATATCATCCTTGTACAGACTACATTAGGTAAAGAAACTGAGAATGCAATTCTACATTTGGTATTGAGGGGAAGTTTCATTAGTGCTCAGCTATTACTGATCACCTTGAAGTACAAAACCAGCCAAGTGCCTGTATTAGTTCTCAGTTATAAGAAGTGGATGACCTAGATGTGCCCACCTAAATCATGTGTCAATATTCTAAAAAGTTCAACCTATAGCTTTCAAACTTTTCAGCTAAGATGACAAACCAAAGACATAATGTGCAGAGAGTGCACAAGCAAGAACTGCACTGTTGCCAGACAGCTGGATTCAGACAGAGACATCTATTCACGAGTTACGCAGCACATGCTGAGTTACTGCTGTCACAGTGTGTCACAGAGAACTCATCATTCATATTGCTCACAGGTCACAAATGAATTCTTATTCCTTCTTACATCGAATAAATGGTTTGCCTAAGATATAACTAAAAAATAAAAAGATTCAGAAGGTATTTCAAGACTGCAAAAAATGCTGTATTTCAAAATCAGTACAAATTCAATTGTAAAAAAATTCTCTCCTTCACTACTATTGAACATCTTGAAGATACACTGAAAGTTGCTGTGACATAAATAGGAACAGCACCAACTCCTTCTCCATAAGGAGTCACTCTTTTGTGTGTTCGTATAACCAGGCACTGCAATGAATGAGAGAATGTGGCTTAACACTACACGAGCTGCACTTATGTCATATTACAAGATTTCCCTATACACACCTTCAGCTTTCACACTGCAAGCAGTTTTGCAAACAACATTAAGTGACACAAGAAGTATGTTGCTGAGACTGTCGGAAAGCATTAACAAACAGAACTTAGCACAGACAAGTAGACCTGAAAATTGTCCACGTTTCACTTTACACCTTGAGCTATGGTCTCTCGTCTGTTATTTCCATTTTTATTTTCTAGATGTTCCTTTTTTATTTCTGCATCAAATCCAATACTGTATACTGTGTTGGAAAATAAAGATGACAGCCTGAACAGGCGACGAGCCTGTGAGAAAGGGCTGGTGTTAGCTTGGGAACACAAGTAAACTGCCTTAATATGTTAAATATTCAACAGAGAGCCTCTAGTTTTATATATGGTAATCAGTGGTGGCCAGTGTACACTCTGGAAGATCAAGAAAATTGTCTAGTAGATGGTACTCTGAATTATAATACAATTTTGCAATTAACATTATTTTGTAGGAGGTTGGACTTTTCAGGTTCTTTCACAGTGGTATCTGTATAGTCCTACCTGTAGCCAGAGCTTAGTAGCTCAGCACCTGGCTAACGAGGACAAGCCACCTGATTTGAAGCTATAACATTATCCTGACAATTTAATACTAGCCTCTGCAGCCCCCATCTGCAACAGAGGCTGTCTTCTGTTGCCTGTCTTCTTCTGAAGCCCTGTCCTCTTATTTACAGGAGAAAGAAATGGGCCATCAGTCCACAAGAGGTGCAAGGACTTGGATTATCTGTCAGATTTTGGTGGCGGTCCGGTTGTGTACAACCAAAGCCCTACGTAGTGTAGTTAATGACAAGATACACAGCCTGCAGTTGTTACATCAGGAAAGAAGAACCAGTATCAGAACTGCTGTGATGACAGATGGCCTGGCACACAGGAGCACCATCAGCAACCGCACTCTGGCACCTCGGGCTGTGAGCAGCGTGCGTTTACCTTTTCACTGGGCTCAGTGTAACAGAATATAGTGGGCACAGCGTTTTCCTTCAGCAACTTGTTGTTGCACTCCCGCTTGAAGCAGTCGGGTGTGAAGTGCTCCGAGCAGATGCTGCTGTACTTGGTGGGCTTGAAGTTTTTCCTTTTCACCGCCGCCTCCCATTTCTTGCACAGATCGGGCCTGGTCAAAGGAAACCTGACGACAAGAGCCACTCTCAGCGTTTCTCAAAGCCGCTCGTTCCGCCAGCCTGGGCCGCAGCGGCGCACACCCACGCGCCACGCCCGGCCCGCGCCGAGGCGCCGCTCGTACCGACAGTCGTACCGACAGCGGAGCCAGCCCCGCGCGTCCCCGCCGCCGAGCGCCCCCGCGCGTCGGGAGGCCGCGCACTCGCGGCCCTGGCCCCGCCCTGGCGCCGCGCCCGGCGCCGCCCCGCCCCGCCCCGCCGCCCGCGCTCACTTGTGGAAGGAGATGGGTTTCTCTTTGTCGTATCGGTTCCGGCAGCGGTAGGCGGAACACGACTGCACCATCCCGCTGGCCTCGCGGCCGCCGCCGCCCGGCGGCGCGAGGAGGAGCTCCCGGGCGCCGTTCGCTCACCGTCGGGCTACCATCCTCCCCCCTCCCCCCGCCAGTGACCCTGCGAGAGGGACAGCAACGGGACGCGGCCTCTCCCAACTCCAAGATGGCGGCACCAGCTTCAGCGCAATTCTCGCGGTGCTAGGCGCGCCGCCTTCGCCCATTGGTGGGTCCTTTCGAGGGGGGCGGAGCCTCACGAGGCGGATCCTCCAATCGGAGCGGCGTTCGACCTTGTTCCCGCCCCTCGCTCCGGAACCACCTCAGGGGCAGCTGCGGTGCGGAGGCAGAGCGCCCCCAGGGCGGGAAGGGTGTGGGTGTTTGGACGGTATGGCTGGTCTGTCCTCAAATGTTACGTGTGCGCTAACAATAAACCAGCTCGTCGGGTTACAGAAATGTGAAGTGCGCTCCGTCGTGCCCCTGCCCTCTATTACTCCACCGACCAACACCGCTCCACAGCAGCGGGCCGTTCCCGGGGCGGCGCGGGGGCTCGGCGCCTATCCTTGGCCCTAGGAGCGCGACAGCGCCCGGGCTCCCGCCGCGTCTTCCCTGTCCCGACCTCGCTGTCCCCGCGCGGTGGAGGAAGCGGGCGCCGAGGACAGGCCCGCGGCGGGCCGGGGGTGCTGACAGCGCTCCGTGGCGCGCTCGGCGTGGGGGCAAAGTCCGGGCAGGAGCCGCGGAGGCGGCTCCGGTTTCGGGTCCGGGACCCCATTCAGAGATGGAGGATGGAGAGAAGGGCAATGAGGCAGCCCACGGCCAAGCACCGAATTTCTGAACGCGGAGCCTCGCACAGCCCCTCCGCGCCGGGGGCCGGCGGCGGGGAGCTCGGGGGAGGCGGTGGCGGCGGCGTCGGGGCGGGCAGACGGCGGGCCCGGGGCGGGGCGTGGGGCCGGTGGCGACGGGAGGCGGCTCAGTCCCCGCTGAGAGCCGAGGGCTGCGCGCCCCTGCCGAGCAGAGCCGCGCCGCGCCCCACAGCCGCCGCCGCCGCCACAGGGCGGGCACCGGGGAGCGCCGCGCCGCGCCCCGGCCGGCCGGCAGCATGAGCGGCGGGCGGAGCGGGAGAGCCGCCGTGAAGATGGAGGCGCCGTTCTACCCCGAGGAAGGGCTGGAGCTGCTGCCCGACTTCGTGCCGCTGCCGGGTTTCGCCGCCGCCGCCGGGCCCGGCGCCGAGGCGGCGGCGGGCCCGAAGCTGCTGCTGGGCGCCGGCAAGAAGCGC